GTTTTAATTTTGTAGTCATGTATTGAGTCTTTTGTGTGTATACCATTTGCTAAGTGCTGCACGAATACTAAAAGAAAAGACATCTTCCTGCCCTCAGGGAGCTCATTCACAATTTAGTGAATGAGAAAGGTGTTTACGCCACTGATTTTAATTATTTTTTGAAAGAAATTAAGATAATACTAGTATAATAGAGATTATGATTAATCCCAGGAGAGGGAATCCCTGAAGATTTCATTAAAGAGGTAGGATATCAGCTGAGCCTTAATGGATGGGTAACAATTTGAGGAGTGGACAGGTGTTAAGTTCATCCCAGACAGGTGACTAGCCTGATGAATGGCCCAATGGTATGAAATTTTATACATGTATAGAATATGACTGGATTTGAGATTTGATATAATAGGACTAAAAGCTCATTGCCATCGAGTTGATCCTGACTCAAAGCGATCCCCTTTGGGTTTCCGAGATGGTAAATCTTTACGGAAGTAGATTGCTGAGTCTTCCTTCTGCAGAGTGGCTGGTGGTTTGAACCGCCAGTCTCCTGGTTAGCAGTCAAATGCCTTAGGTACTGTGCCACCAGAGACCATTTATTTGTCTTTAGTTGGGCTCATAGTCCACTGTGCTTTGGAATCTTTGCCTAACTAAGGAACTCTGGTGGGGTAGTGGTTAAAGCATTTGGCTGCTAACCAAAAGATCAACAGTTCGAACCCACCAGCCACTTCTTGGGAGAAAGATGAAGCAGTCGTCTTTCATAAAAATTTGCTGCCTTGGAAACCCTATGGAGCCATTCTACTCTTTTAGGGTCACTATGAGTCAGAATTGACTTAATGACAACGGGTTTGGTTGGGCTAAGACTGAATATTTATTTTTACTTGTTTGGCGTGTTTTCATTCTAGTACTTTAATTCCTTAATATTCAAACATAAGGACCAGTCTGACATGTGCAACTCTGTCCTCCCTAATTTGTTTTCTGATACCACTGTGTCTAGATATCTTTGTTTCTTTTTCAGGCAAACATACTAAAATAATACATATGATATAGATTATCTTAAGAGTATTATATTGCACATTAAAGGTGAGAAAGCTCTCAAGTCACAATACTAAGCA